AGTAGCAACGAGCAAGTTCGAGGTACAGGAGCGTGCTTTTCTGAACCCATGCTGGGCAGAAGAAATGACATTCTGTCCCCCAAGATGAAGAGTAACAGCTTGTTTTAGGATTCGTTCCATAACTTTACACACTACTGACGTCAAACAGATTGGACGATAATTGGCCGGATCATGTCGACTTCCTCCTTTGTAAATGGGTTTGACGATACCCACTTTCCAAGCTGAAGGAAGACGGCCAGCTTCTAGTGAGCGTCGAAAGACTTGACATATGGGTGAAGTTATGTACTCCGCCACAGTCCTGAGGAACAAAGGATGTAATCCATCAGGTCCGGGTGAGCTATACGGATCTAACTGAAGAAGAAGTTTCATCACAGAATCAGTGTTAATATCTACTTGGGCCAACGAAGATGGAAATGTGGATACGGCTCTGTCACTAAATGGGGTTTCTTTCGCGTAAACAGAAGCGTATTGCTTAGCCAAGTGACTAGCTTTCTCAGCGTCCTCGTGAAGTAAAGCTTGATGATCACAGGAACACAAAGCAGAGATGCCATTACCAGCTCTAGTGCTTCTTTTCAAATAAGAGTACAGCTTTTTAGGCGCGATGCTGGAGTGTTTTGTCAAGGATAGCTCATATCGTTGGCGTTTCCGGCGCTTCATTGCGACACAAACATTTCTGACTGTCTTGTAGTGAGAGAAGTCGAGTTCTGCATGAGATTGCCTATAGCGGTCCCATAGTTTGCGCCTTCTATTCATGTTTGACCTCAACTCTCGATCCATCCAAGGTGGACCTCTAGCGAAGGGCTTTCGATGGAAGGAACGACCTGCTCAATTAACGACATCATTTTGGAGAGTACAAGATTCCATGCGTCATCGAGGTGAATGTGTTCAGGGATACCCCAATCCGTAGCGCTTGCGGCCGTTTTCAGACGGAGTGGGTCGGCACGCTAAAAATTTCGACGGTGACCACAGTGGCTATGGATCGTGAGACGGCGAGTCCAGTGGAATGAAACAACACAATGATCGCTCTTGCCTATGGGTTGAAGAACGGTTAGGTTCGTGACATCCGAACCTGCCGGGGAGAGCGCGAGATCCAGGATGTGCGGGATCTGGTCTGGAAAAATACGAGTAGGCGTCAAGACATGTTGAACGAGGCTGCAATCGAGAGCGGTTTTAAGCAGTGTGGCGTCGAAGGAGTCAGATCGGCGATCACAAAGAAGTAGGTCCCAATCGATATCCGATGCATTGAAATCCCCCAAGATTAAACAGTCTTTGTGACCACCATACATTCTTATCGAGCCCAACAAGCGCGATCCGGGACCCGGTGGCGCTCTGTAGACGACACCGACCAAGAGAGATCTAAAGCCGTCATGAACACGGCACCAGAGGGCTTCGAAATTGTCATCCTGGTCACTGATTGCTTCAACTAGATGTACTTTGAGATCCGTCTTCCAGTAGAGAATTACTCCACCACCTGACCTCATCCCGTGGCGATCGGACCGGGAGTGGTGATATCCAGGGATAGACACTTCCGAGTCCGTGATATCTGAGAATAGCCAGGTTTCGGTGAAGGCCATCAGGTCTGGACGAGTCTCCGAAGTAAGCAACTGAATTTCGTCCAGTTTATTCCTTAGGCTGCGTACGTTGGCCGATAGCACGCGTAGTCCGTTTTTATACTTTACTGTCTGGGGGTGACAAGAATCGGCCTCCAGCGCACTCTTGTGCTCTTCCGAACTACGCAAAAATCCACGATATATAGGTCGGTTTCACCACTCCCCCGGCGCGTTCGGAGATCCTCTACAGCCTTCTTCATTTTAATTCGGTCCTCGGGAGAGAGGTCTCGTAACACGTAGAAAGGTTCGCCTTTGAGACGTGGAGTCCGTCGAAGGATGCGCGCGCACTCCTCTTCGTTTCCGCATACAATCTTGAGGGGTCGAACCTTGGAGGAATTTTCCTGCTTCTTACCGAGGCGAAAGGCAGAGACAATGTTTATTCCTTGTTCGCCTGCATCAAACAGTAGAGAAATCATCCGCTCGAGCAGTATTTGATCATCCAACATTCGCTCCGCCGAGGTAGCCTTGTCCGAATCCGCCGCGTTCATGATGATGAGACAGCGGTCACGAGATGGCTGAATGCGCTCTGGAATCGGTGGCTTACGAGATGCTGGATTTTCCTTTATCACTTTTTCCAGCTCAGAGATTCTGTTGAGAATTATCTTCATCTGTGACTGAGAAGATGGAAGCTCAGGTTTATTCAATGACTTAGTCTTAGCCTTGGTGACACATGTGGCTGGACCTTGGCCACACGAGGCCAAAGTCGCTTTCTCCTTCACTACGTCCGCATATGACTTCGTCGTAGGCTCAACAGGCCGGATGTGTATCAATGGGTCCGAA